GGCTGTTGCCGATGGGAAATCTGCCGATGAAAGAGTTTCGTTATAGCTTGTCGGACTCCTCCGGTGTCAACAAACATTCTGATACTCAATGGTGTCTCAAACAAGTAGAATTATTCATAGGCGCGTGGGCACAAATGCACAACAATGCCATTTGCCGGTATGGTCGTTTTCAACGGAGGGCAAAGTTAAGTTGGTGAGAAAGGCAAATTGGTAGTGAGGTGCCTACCCCGTCCATCTCGCGTGCCGTGTGGGTGTTGGCGCAGGGACTTTGTGACGCCGAGTGTACAGCTCAGGGCCAACATCAGCCCCGGTAGGGCGACAGCCTGAACTCACGGTGCCCTAGGCCGTCACCGCTGACCAGAGTGGTGAAGTATGGTCAATCAAACCTTCTACTCCACCCCCCCAGGAGGGGGGGGGGGATCAGTTTACCATGGGTATCCAGTTCACCATGAAAGTCCAGTTTACCATGGAACTCTAGTTTACCATGGTAGTCCAGTTCACCATGGGAGTCCAGTTTACCATGAGTATCCAGTTCACCATGGCAGTCCAGTTCACCATGGGAGTCCAGTTCACCATGAGTATCCAGTTCACATGGCAGTCCAGTTCACCATGGTAGTCCAGTTCAACATGGGAGTCCAGTTTACCATGAGTATCCAGTTCACCATGAAAGTCCAGTTTACCATGAGTATCCAGTTCACCATGGCAGTCCAGTTCACCATGGGACTCTAGTTTACCATGGGAGTCCAGTTCACCACGGTAGTCCAGTTAACCATGCAAATATATTTTACCATGGGAGTCCAGTTCACCATGGGAGGCACCGCATGCGCCTTCTTCAAGTGACTGCTTCGTGACCCGACTCATTCACCACTGCCGCTATCTCTGTCTCGTAGTCACCACCACACGACGCACAGCCGCTCGTTTGGAGTTGTTGCTGTTGTTTGGAACCGACTCCCATGTGTCTCGTCTCTCCCTCCGTCATTTTGGTTCCGCGACCCCCGCCCGGATGACCGACGCGGATCGGACAGCGGGGGGCTGGTCAGCGCGAACCGGTGGAACACGCGTGTACTTTCAAACTGCTCTGGAATCAGAGTTGCGCCGCTAATAAAACAAACACGAGTACCAAATAGTTCTCCATCCCCCCTTCAAAATGAAGAACGTTTTTGGCCGACTTTGTGTTGCACGAATAGCGTGCCACGTCTCGCGCGACTGCCCCGTGTTTAAAACGCGTTCAACTTGGTGGCTCAAAGGCAGCATGCTCACAGGAGCGGGGAGCACAGGACCGTCATCTCAGTCAACGCATAACGCCCGGTCCACGGTGGGCTGGGAGATGTTAACAACCTCTCCCGGTTTACAGGAGGTCGTGGGTTTGATCCCGACCCTGACGCCTGTCTGCATATTTGGACTTTGCGTGTCTCTCTCTTACTCTCTCCGTGGTCGCGTGGATTTTTCTCCGGGACCTCCGGTTTTTAAACGCCACACGACTGTAGGCCCACTTTGTTGAGCTGATATCGTTCGTGATAGCCGGGGTCAATTCTGAAAACAGAGCGACATAGCTCAGTGGGGCCTTACCCTGGTAAAACTAAAACAAAGTCTCCTTGTCCATCCAGTTATCTCTTCGAAGCAGCGAGCCATTCACACTTTCGCGTGGCCTCAAAAGTGCACCTAGCCTGGCACGACGTCCTCGCCGCCGCCGCTTTAAGTGAGGCCGCGTGGTTTGAATGCGAGCCAGTCGCGTCGCGTCGACGAAACGTGATTTCGTGGCCGAAGATCGGCAGGGTGCGTTTGGCACGATAAACAAACACGTTCAACTTGAAAGACTCCATTGAGATAACGTTATAGGTCCGTAGTCAGCGTAACTATAACTATGGGTCTGTTAAGAATGTATTTATTTCTTCCTACACAAATTCGCAGGTTCGGAATTACGACTCCCTGCCAGCCCGGGACTCCACGACCTTGGGCCCGCGTCACCCATTGTGCCTCCTCATGACATCACAAATTGCATCACAGTGGATTTCCCTATGACATCATCATCATCGTCCTGCCCAATGACTCGAGCCCGTGTCACCTATTGTGCCTCCTCATGACATCACAAATTGCATCACAATTAGTGTCCCGATGACATCTTCATCACCATCATCCTGCCCAATGACTGTGCTTTCTCATGCCATCAAAGACTACATCACAATAGGTTTCCTTATGACATCATCACCATCATCATCATTGTCCTGACGAATGACTCAGGCCCACATCACCCATTGTGCTTCCTCATGACATCACAAATGACATCACAATTGGTGTCCTCATGACATCATCATCGTCCTCACAATTATGTTGAGTTGATAATGCTTCAATGATTAAAGGTGGAGGAGATATCCCCTCCTCCATAAGTTGATTCCAAAACCCTGGCCCATAAAAAAATACCACTTTAGGCAATGGTTTGTTACGCAAAGATGTTTTCTGTTAATCATCTATATTGAACACCAGTTTCTTTACAACTGCTTTTTGTTGCCTTTCCCCCACACCTCCGATTAGTATGATGTACCGGTGCTGCTTTTGTGTGCTATCCGCTCCCTCTATTCCTGGAGAGAGAGAGCTGCTTCCGTATTCCTGGTGTTACATCAAAAGTTGTTCGCTGTGGTTGCTGGACTCCGCCAAGGGTGCGTCTTGTCTCCACTTCCGTTGGTGATTTTCATGGACAGGCTATCAAGGCGCAGCCGAGGTAGGGAGAGTATCCAGTATGGGGGTTTCGAGGTGGCATTGCCGTTGTCCTTTTCGCCTCGGCAGTCTGCCATCCCCGGCGTGCACTTGAACGCTTCGATGCCGAGTGTGAAGCGCCCGGGATGAGGGTCAGCACCTCCAGATCGGAGGTCATGGATTACTCCCGGGAGACGGTGGAGTGTGCTCTCCAGGTGAGGGGGGAACAGCTGCCCTTAGTGGAGGAGTTTAAGTACCTCGGGGGCCCCTTTCCTTAGTGACGCCAGGCGGGAGCGGGAGTTCGGCCCGTCGGATCGCTGAGGCGTCTGCAGTGTTGCGGGCGCCGCACCGTTCCGTGGCGGTGAAGTGGAAGCCGAGTTCTCGAGCAGAGCTCGCGGTTTAAAGGTCGATCTACGTTCCCACCCTCACCTATGGTGATGAGCTTTGGGTAATGACCGAAAGGATGAGATCGCGGGGACAATGGGCCGAAATGAGGTTTCTCCGCAGGGTTGCCGGGCTCACGCTCTGTGATAGCGCGAGTACTCTTTGGTTCGAAAGAACCAAAAGAGTATGGATCCTTGCGGTCACGAAAACTTCAAATCTAGAATAGAGTGAGTAGCTCGGTAATCCGTGAGAGCCTCAGAGTCGAGCCGCTGCTCCTCCGGATCAAGAGAAGCCAGTTGAGGTGGTTTGGGCACCCGGTAAGGATGCCTCCTGGTAGGCTCCCCCTGGAACTCTACCCGGCAGCACGTCCCACTGGGCGAAGATCCCAGGGCCGGCCCAGGACACGCTGGTGGGACGATGTCGCTTGGCTGGCCTGGGAACGCCTGGAAATTCTCCAGGAAGAGCTAGAGCCTGTTTATAGTAGTGTAGTGTATAGTAGTGTATAGTGTAGTGTACAGTCGTGAAAAGTGTAGTGTGTAGTCGTGTAGTGCTGGAGTCTGTCGCCAGGGAAAGGGAGGTCGGGACTGCCCTACTCAACATGCTGCTGCTTCGACCCTCACCTGGACAAGCAGACTGAGAAACAAACAAACTTTCTAACAAAGGCAATACACCCACCCCCACTTTCGTCCTCTTTTGGCGAGGCCTAAACAGGAAGTGTGGGGGGGGTGAGGATAAAAAGAGGGCGTGGTCTAGACAGGAAGAAGGTGGGGCCTAAAGAGGAAGTGGAGGGGTTGAGTAAAATAAGGGGCAAGCCCATACAAAAGGGGGGGGTGTGGTCTAAACAGGAAGGAGGTGGGGCCTGAAGAGGAAGGGCCGATGCATGTGTAGTGTCCTCCTCGGTGTGGGTGTCGTGCGCACACTCAGTCGCAGACGAGGCAGTTGCAGGAGGCACCTTCTCTCTATTTCCGTTACACCAACCCCGGCCTCCGTTCTCGGCCACGTTGCCGTACTGCCCGGCCTAGACGCGACCCTGACCGCGTTGCACCGACGGCGTCGACCGAGACAGCCAACCGCTGTCCGGCCGCCCAAATTTGGGGCGAGGGCGGCAGCGGCGAAGGCGGCGAAGGCGGCGAAGGCGACAGCGACGAGACGAGACGAGTCCGCTCCCAGAACCGGCGGCCCGGAGCTCCCCGCTCTCCGCTGCTTTTATTCTACTCGGCGCGGCCTGGCTCCGCGCTGGCCGCGCCTCCCTTCTCGATCCCACGAGCGGGTCCCAGGGGCCTCCCGATGAGGCCTTCCGTGACCCTTGCCCCAGCTCCTCCGCCCTGCCGGCGCACACGGCCGTGTCCGTGCTCGGCGGCGCGAGTGCGCTGAACTGTCCACCGCAGTTGCCGCTGCTGGACAGCAGCCGGCGCTGTGTCACTACACGTGTACCAAATAATGCCTGACGAGCAAGTGTCAAGTAAGCGACAATCAATAACAACAGGAGGCCAACAGCAACAACAACAACAACAAACAACAGCAAAGGCCACCGCTCTAAAGAAAAAAGTGATGGCGACTCTTTAGACCTTTTTTGGTTTTCAAACCCAATCCTGGGTACAGAGGAGCGCTTCAAGCGTCACTAAAGCTGTCGACTCAAGCGAAGTGCAGACACAAAATCAAATAAGTGCAACGGCAGAGAAACATTTACCATGCCGCAGACGCCTCCACAGGCCTTGGTGGCTAGGAGATGTTAACTAACTCGCCTGGTACGCAGGAGGTCGTTGGTTTCATCCCGACCCTGACCCCTGCTGTATATTTGGAGTTTGCTTGTCTCTCTTTCCCTCGTACCCACGTGATCGCGTGGATTTTTCTCCGGATCCTCCAATTTTTTCCCTCCACATTTAGAATCAACGTCACGCGTTTTACAGGATTTGGCTGCTGCTGCTGCTGCTGCTCATTTCCCACATGGTGACGATGATTAGCCACTTCGTTGAGTTGCTATCATTTGTGATAGCCAGGTCGCTTCTGATAAAAGAGTTACATAGCTCAGAAGCGCATTGACCTCGTAAAATGGTAAAATAAATAGATCTTTCTCATCATAAAAACCGCTTGTGATGGACTACGCCCCAGAGAATAAGTCGCTGAAAGACGGAGATTGTTCCAGAGCCATCCGCATTCAATCGAAGGCACGAAGGCGCCATTACGGGTTGGGCAGGTCGATGATGATGGGTGGGTTGACGGGTTCGTAGTTCACGTTGCAAGTGGACGCGTTCACGAACAAAGTTCGCCCATCGGTCATGATCCCGTAACCTGCACACGCGCGCAAAGGCAAAGGATCACCCCCCGTTAGTAGCAAAAAGCAGCACCTGAAGGTTGGCACTGCACGTGAGGGGGGTGGGTGGCCAGCACTACGGCCAACCGCCTTTGTCTCCCCAGTGGCGATATTTACTACTCACTGCACCAGGTACTCTCATTTGAGGCTAAGTCGACCCGGGGGGAGGCCCAGGACCAGATAAAATAATCGTCACCAATGTTGGCCATGAGCAGGAATTGAACTTGGGTCACGGGGTTTGTAGCAGGTGCATTAGACTGCTACACTACCGGTCCCCACACGCACACACCGATACACACACACACATCGATATACACACACACACCGATACACACACATACCGATACACATACACACACACCGATACATACACACACCGATACACATACACACACCGATACACACACACACACCGATATACACACACACACCGATACACACACACACACCGATACATACACACACACCGATACACACACACACACCGATACACACAACAACAACAACAACAACCGCCATTCGCCACTAAGTGGCGGTGACGTCACCACGACGATTGTGCCAGGCTATGTGCACCATGAGGCCATGTGAAGTGTCGAACGCCCGCTGGCAGGAGGTCACTGGGCAGACCCAGGTGCCACGGGTCGACTGACTGAGATGACTGGCTGATGCACCACCTGTGCCCCCTACTGTGCCAACCTGCTGTGCTTTAGCCACCCGGCGCTCCGCTCGTTATTGTGAGCGTCGCTCCTCCGCCCTCCTTTGTTGTTGGAGGGCGACTGCCTCCAACTGCCCAGTAGCATCCTTCACGAGCCTCCTCCACAGAGGCCGATCTTGACACCGCTGGTACCAGTCATCGGCAAGTCCACTCAGCTCCACGTCCTCCTGTACCACATCACTCCATCTCTTCTCTAGCCCGTGCCGCGCCCGCTTAGCCCCCTCAATCCGGCCAAACAAAAGCTGTTTCGGCATGCGGTGGCTGGGCATGCGGGCTACATGACCCAGCCATCGCAGCCTTGCCTGCCGGAGGAGCTCACCGATGGGACCCTGCCCAGATCTTTCAAGGATTTGTGAGCTCCTCACACAATCCAGTCTGGTTAAACCCAGGATGGATCGTAGGCAGGCCAGCCTAAATGTTTCTAACCGGCGAAGATGTTCCATTAGGGGGGTCCACGTTTCGCAAGCGTAGAGAAGGGAGGGAATGACCGTGGCCGAGAAGACCTGAAGCTTAGTGCGGAGCGACAGACCAGGTAGCTTCCACACAGCGTTACGCAACCGATGAAAAGATATTGCCGCTCGACTGATTCGGAGTGAGACCTCTGCTGTTAAACTGGAGCCAGTCATAAGCACACTGCCCAGGTATGGGAAACTCTCCACTCTCTCCACAACTGCCCCATCACCGATTGGGAGTTGTGGGGGTGGAGTGTCCGATGGTACAAAATACCCAGGCAGGTGCTTAGTTTTGGTGGGGCTGATGGTAAGGCCCCACCTCTTAGTGGCACGCTCCAGTCTCAGCAGCAGCGTCTCCAACTCCTCCTCTGACTGAGCAGCTATTACCAAATCATCAGCATACATAACGTGGTTGAGCAATAGGGAGCCATCCCTTGACCGCACCCGGGCATCGATTAGCCTCCCATTATATCTGTACCATATGGAGATTCCCCCGGTACAGCTATTGAAGGCTTCACGAACTACGTGGTCAAAATAGATGTTAAATAATGTGGGAGCCAGAGGACATCCCTGTCACACCCCAAGGTGTACAGGGAATGGCTCTGACTCCCGGCCACGTAGTTTTACCCGGGCCCGCTCACCATCATGAAAGTCCTTAATGATCGTGAGCAGAGGGTCAGGTACTCCAAAAGCACGAAGAACGACCCAGAGCCCAGGCCTACTGATGGTATCATAGGCCTTGACCAGGTCAATAAAGCAGGGATGTAGGTCTTGTTGGAATTCCCTACACCTCTGCTGTAGCAGACGGACAGAAAATATGGCATCTGTGCAGGACCGCCCTTTCCTGAAACCGCATTGGGGCTCCGCAAGCCTCTCCTCAGCGTGCCTGGCAAGGCGATGCTGAATAATCCTTGCCAGGACCTTTCCCGGCACACTGAGGAGTGAGATGCCCCTGTAGTTGTTACAGTCTGTGCGGTCCCCCTTCTTAAAAAGGGGGGACCACCAGGGCATCCTTCCAATCCTGCGGAACCCGTCCAGTGGTCCAGACTGTTGTTATGATGTCATATAGGGCAGTCTGTGCACAAACGCCACCCTCCCTCAGCATTTCGCTTGGGAGATCATCTCTGCCCGCTGCCTTTCCTGGTCTCAGACTCCGGATCGCCTTCAATACTTCCTCAGCAGATGGCACCTCAGCCAGCCACTCACAGGGGGTGACTTCTTCCAATATTTGAGGCACCGCAGCCTCAGCAGGGTCATCCTCACTTTGTGCCACGATGTTTTCCTGGCTGAGAGATTTTCCCTCCCCCAGGACCTCACAGAAATGCTCAGCAAATCTGCGAACCTGTTCCTGGGGGTCGGAGATTGGATCACCGTTTTTCCCCTAATGATGGTAATAGGTGTGGCGCTGCAGGTTACTTTTTGATGGAGTTAAATAGAGATTTGTGATCACGGGCCAGTGAGGCAGACTCCATCTCCTCAGCAACCCGCGACCACCACCCATCCTTGCAGCGCCTCACGGCTCTCCGAACCTCCGAGCGAAGGCTGCGGTAAGCCTCCTCATTCTCTGACGTGGGATTCTGTAGCCGATGACAGTGGGCCTGTCGCTTTTTCTCAACCATCCTGAACACCTCCTCTGTCAGCCAGGGTCTCTGGGGAGGTCTGGACCGCGTACCCAAAGCAGCCATTGCAGCTGCATGAGTCACAGTCCTAAACCTCGCCCATTTACCCTCGACATCAGGAGGAGTCGGGGACGAT